CCCCAGCGTTAAGTTCACCGGTACCCATTTATACACCTGGATGGAGAGAGGCACTGTGAGAGTAAAGTGTCTTGCCCAAGAACACAACACAACGTCCCTGGCCAGGGCTCGAACCCGGACCGCTCGATCCGGAGACGAGCGCACTAACCATGAGGCCATCGCGCCTCCCACCTTTCAGGGTACTGAGTCGAAAAAAGTCGGTGTCAGTTAGTGTATTGTTTGAGAGTTGGTAACTCTTAGGGGTGAAAAACATTTTCAAGCCACGGCCACAAAACAGGATCTTGGTACCTCTTAGGGGTAATTTTCAAAATTTCCGACGACCAACCCCTTCCTTTTTGTATGGGAGTCACCCCCCGGGTTCAGGACAAAGGGTTTTCTTTTACTGTTTAACGTCGGTGCTTAAATAAAGTGTAATTCTTTGTTCTAATATTTTTCTCTCCAGAGTACCTATTTCCTCTGAAGCCGTTCTATCATGATTACACCGCTTTTTTTTTCGCCAATGAATTGACTGACAGAATGCGGGTCAAACGAGAAATAGCCTTGCTCAGGACAGTTTATTTTCACTTTACAATATTTATATTAATAATGCTTTAGAAATACACAGGCAATTAAAAGCTAACGATATAATGTTCCTACGTTTCGGTTGAATAAATACTTTAGCGCGGATCGAATCTGTTTGTACATTGAAACGTGGTCTTAGTTGTTTGGTGTACAGCATTTCGTTAGAATATTTATTTATTTAAAGTTTCCGAAATCAGCCTAGCGGTGCTAAAAGTCGACCTGAAGAGGGTTAGAGAAATTTAGTGACTCTTATGGCCGGGGACTACAACTGCACGGTTTATTTTGCAGCGTACCTTCTGGATGTCTCTTTACCTACAAAAATTAACTTAATTAAAATAAGCCCCACTCTTACGACAAAATGTTCTTCGCAAAATTGTCTTTTGGTCGGGTTGATATGGAATTTCTTCGAGTTTTCAACTTACCGAAAACGTCCGAAGATTACCGAAGAAAACCGAAGATTTCCGAGGAAGATCCGATGATGTTTCGATCATACATCAATACATTTAAGTACAGATTTAAGGGATTTATAATGTAACCATAGCGACGGTGATCTTCTCAGACGTGAAAATAGTATGTTATTTTCACGTGTGAAGATATAATGCTTTCGCGCTAAAGCTGACTTGGTATTTCATTGGTGTTTATATAATAAGACTCTCTTTTACACCCCAAACATCTTTGCTGAAAAACTGGCCTTTCTATTTTCTATTTGAGAAACGAAATTTGTTACATCAAAAATTTGCTGATACATGTGCGAAAACTTTGTCAAGATTTATGGGAATTAAAATTTATCAAAGATAATGAGATATATGGGAATTCCCATATATCCTTCATTCGGGTGTACAATACAATACTTTTATCAATCCCTCACAAACTAGACTTTTCAGAATCTATTTACATACTATCAAGAATAGTGTGTGTTTTGTTCTGTCATGCAAAAATCAATGCCGAAAAATTAATTACACGTGTGCATGGGAACAAAGTAACCATTTAGTATGATGTCACAAAATGCCTTCGTAGGCATGGGGCGGGGCTCTGAAAACGGTGACTCAATTTTTCTAAGAAAAAGCGTGAGGCAGCTTTGTTTATCACAACTTCGGATACAAATCTTGCAGTCTTGAATTAAACCACATGAACTTCTTTTGTTTAGTTCTTCTGCATTCTTGTAAAGAGAGGGACGTCTCTAACATGGCATTCCCTAAAATGTCACCATTCATTTCCTCCTTGTCACATGCTTTCATAAATATCGTCTGATTGGTCATCTGTGGTTAAGGACAAACAACGCATAGAATATGATTGAGAAATTTGAAAGAAATGGCAGAAATCACATATTACAAGAAACTACCGCGTATCGACAAAACATAAGGCCCGTTCATATTGCATTCAGTAGAGTTTTTCCGCACAACAACCTTGCAGATGCAAATGTACCCATTATGACATTAGACATGTAAATTCCCCGTCCGTTCGATTATAAGGGCCCGTTACTTCATACCAAAACCTTCAAAGAGCTGACCTAGAATTATGACGCATGGTGCAACAGTAGCAGACTAAAAAAATATAAATTCTTGAACACAATAATTGTTTCCAGCGGTTTATTGGCACTCGTAAACAAGTTAACGAGTGACGATAGTTTTAAACATTTGAAGATTATAATAGGCCATTTTAATGTTGTGTGCTTAGCTGCATGGCCTAAGCGAGGCCGGAGGTGACCTTGCTCTAATACAGACCTCTCTGCTTTTCCCGTCTAACTGTCAACTAGTTAGCATAAGAACAACTTGATTTACACAACAATATCAGTGAGGTCTGTATCAAAACAAGGTCACCTCCAGCCTCGCTGCCATTCAAAAGCCAGGTCACTGAACAGACAATTGTAAAATGGTCTATTGCGTGTTGGGAATATACTGCCAGGGAACAAGGGCTTTTACACACTTGTCGTAGAATTGTGCACATTTCTTACTGAACGCTATATTTCTTTATTCAAAAAGCCTGTAGCGAAGAAGAAACAGCCTCGACAAAGCTATCATGTAAATAAAGAACGTTGGATCGAATCGTTAGTCTTATTACAATGATTTTAAGTCGTGAAATGCATATTTGCATTTGTGAGTTTCTTTATGCGGAAAAGCTCTGGTGGTACACATTGTGTTGGACAATATAAAGTCCATTTTGCACCACAACCGGGAAATACCTGCAAGTACTAGCACGAAAAGTCAGGCGAGTCACACGCGTGGTGTTAAAATTAATTTCAGTTCACCTTGGCTATGAGAATAACTTCAGGTCAGCAAGTGATATATAGAGCATGTTGCATAGCCGCGCGGAGATACGAAATTTCTCTTCAGGTGTTAAAGAATATTTCACGAGTGAGCGCAGCGAACAAGTGAACTATTTTTCAACACGAGAAGAGAAGTTAAATTTGATCGTTTGTTTGTTTGTTTGTTTTTAATATCTATTTTAAAAATTACCTTGATTCCCCCTTTGAAGTACCGATGCCACGTCATCATAAGTGTCGTCATTTTCTTCAAATTCCTCTTCTTTTCAAAACGGAAGTAAAGTTAGTCAAACCTTAAAGTTCATTAGGGAAACATATTTCTACTTGAATAACTTCCCATTTAATCATGCAGTTAAGCTCCAATCTGTCCTTTCCGAGGTAGCCTTAGTCATCTCACCCGGGGGGAGTACCATGTAAAAAGGACGGGGGTGCTCATCGTACTTTTTGAGAGTTAAACATGCGAGTTTGGTACTTGTGAGGTCTACAGTGGGAGTTTTCACGGTACTTTTTAGGATATCGAGCTGACAAAAGTCAGTGTCAGTTTACGTGTTGTTTTAGAATTGGTGCCTTTTAGGGGTGAAAAACATTTCAAGGCACACCCACAAAACTGGGTCTGGGTACCTCTTAGGGGTTCTTTTCAAAATTTCCCACAAGCACACCCGTCCTTTCAATATGGGAGTTTCCCCAGGCATCTTATTAAAACCTTAAAACCGAATGCTGGAGATTGCGTACCTGCTAAATGTTTCTGAAACTCGGTACTGCTGGTTAGATGTTGTGTTTTGGGGTGGTTGCTTTATTATTGTTATTTTATTTCATTTCATTGCATTGCATTGCATTGCATTGCATTGCACTGCTCTGCACTGCACTGCACTACACTGCATTTTATTTTATTTTATTTTATTTTATTTTATTTTATTTTATTTTATTTTATTTTATTTTATTTTATTTTATTTTTATTTTATTTTTTTTGGATCTTTTGTTTTAGTGGAAAAGCAGAGAGTTGCCCCAAAAATAGAAGTGTGAAAATCACAGAGCATCCTTCGGACATATTCAATAGTAAAAAACTTTCGCGTGATTAATTGAAATAGCATAACGATATCATTTGAATCGGAAAGCCTATGTTTATATAGAACGACGAATGATCGCGATGAAATTGTCTTTTTTTTTTTTTTTTTTTT